TTTAGATTTAAAAGTGTGTTTCTGGATAGGAAATGTCCTCGTCACTGCTAGCATTAATCAGGACGTAGCACAGGTTTAGTTTTCTGACTGGAGCGGTCATGCTGTCACGCCAACCCTGATCTCCAGCTGAGGTTTTTGTTGCCTCTGCGACACAGAAAAGGGCCTCAGAGGGATTTTCTGTTCAGTAACAAACACAAACAGGTACTTAGGTTGGAAAATGAATGGATTTAGTTTCCTTTCGTTTTCTTTGACCTTACAAATGTTGCTAAAGTTCCTTTCCTGATTTGCTCCGCGGCGAAACCTTGAGACACTGAAGAGTTGGGTCCATCAGTGATCAGAGTGTTCCTCACAAAGCCGTGGCGTTTCACCTCTCAGCAGATGTGTAACTATTCTGGGAACCGACACGAGGAGCTTCGCCAGCTGCTGCTACTGTTAACCGGCTGGTTGTAAAGGCTCAGTGATGTAACGGCGTTGCAAAAGATGCTATTTGTCACGTCCTATTTTAGGATGTTTCAGGTGTTGCTCAGCAGATGTTTGAGCCTAAAATTGGCCGAAGCTGGAGATCCTGATGGACGGAGATGTTTGTGAATGAAGTTGTTGAATGAGCCTGGTTTAGTTAGGGTTAACTAGCTGTTCAGTCAGACCCAGTAACCCCGCAGCACCAGTTTAGTCGCGTTTCTTTACCTGTAACTTTAAACCCTAAACACACACGGTGAGGCTGAAGGTAACGCGCAAACATGGATGCGAATAAAACCCTAGCTGGGAGGAGTGCGTTCCCAAAAATCACCCAGAACAACTGCGCAGGGGGTGTGGGTGGGGGTAACGCTCACAGCTGCTCTAAAAACACAAAAGAAGGAATTAACGTGGTTTGAGTTAAGCGAGCAGCAGTTGGTGTCCGAGGAGATTGGTCAGACTGGTTCCTACCAAGATCTGCAGAACCACACCAGCTGCTCCAGACGGACTCCAGCAGCAGGAGGCAACACTAAGGCCCTGTCCACACGTAGCCGGGGATCTGCCTGTCATCCACACGAAAACGGAGTTTTTTCACACGAAAACGGATCTTTTTAAAAATTCCGGCCAAAGTGAAGATCTGCGTTTTCTCCGTTTTGGGTGTCTGCGTGTGGACGGACAAAACCGGAGTTTTAAGGTCCGCAACGTCACTTTCCGCGATGAAAAAATGCTGACATCACATGTGCGACCTGTGTTTACACTAGCCGACAGCATGGATGCCCTCAGAGCTGCGCTCGCTTTATCAATTGTCCAAGCGCTTTCTGCTTGTTTGTTTTTGCAAGCGGAATTACTGCTCCTTGCGGAAGACCACAGACGAAGGACGAGGTTAAGAACGGGGGAAGTACTGCCGCCTACAGGTCTGGCATGTCCTTAACAACGTATTTATCCGGGTACGTGTGGACAGAGTTTTTTTTTAAAACGAGGTGGTGTGGATGCAAGTTTTTGGAGGGGCGGATATTCGTTTTTAAAAAACCCCGGCTACGTGTGGACTAGGCCTGAGGCTGAGTGTCTCACCTGTCAGCTAAGAACAGGAACCTGAGGCCAGAATCTGACAGGACCACCAGAACTGGAACAGAAGAGTCTGGAAAACCTTTTACTGCTCTGATGAGTCTGGATTTCAGCTGTTGGGTCAGAATCTGGTGTCACCAGCATGAAAGCATGGATCCATCCTGCTTGGTGCAACGCTTCAGCATAGTGGTGCTGATGGAGAGGGGGTTCTGGTCCCGCTTTGGACCCTACTGTCCCACTTGAGTCTGGTTTAAACACCACAGCCTACCCGAGGGTTGCTTCTGACCGTGTCCATCCCTTTAAACGGGTCCTTCACCCATATTTTTAACATGTTTGCTGTGGTCTCTAGTGGGAATGAATGACTTATAAGTCTTACTGAGGGAGAAACAAAGCTCCGGTGCACCTGTTTCAGCACGGGGAATTCAGCTGGAGGAGAAAGTAGCTTCAGACGGCAGGATCTGGAGTCCTATCTCCTGATATGTGGACACCTCTCCTCTGATTGGCTAACAGCAACACGACTCTACCACTGACTCTGCTCTGCAAATAACAAAAGCCTGGAGGAGTTCTGCAGTGTGGTGTAGTTGCTAATGCTAATGGTTAGCTTCTACTAGCAGAGACATTCTCTGCGGTTTCGTGGACGCTAAACCAACAACAGCCTTCCTCGTCGTGAGTCCAGATGGGTGAGTCCATGAATGTTAGTGACAGGGTGACGTAGATCTGTCAGGATTTTCTATCCTGGAGTTTCACCGTCTGTTTTCTATCAGAAGCTACTGCAGCAGATAGGTGTAGGAGACTATTTTCATGTTCAGCCTGCATGAAACACTCAGAGTGAGCGACCATTTTCAAAAATAATAAGTAAAAAATGGTTTCTCAGTGAAGCACCTCTTTGAGACCCATCTTCTGAGGTGTTGGTTTTCTTCAGCTGTTGCTCAGATCTGAATCTTTCCACGTGAAACTAAAACTCTTTATTGGTGCTCGAGTGAAACGGCAGCATGTACAGCTGAGTCTCGTCCTGACGGGACCATGAGGTCAGGGTTTAGGGCTCTGTCGAACTTTCTATGGTATCAAGATTAAATCATCCCGTGGAAATGAAGTCGCCGTTTCCACGGTAACGTCTGTTGGGGGTTAGAGAAGAGAAGATTTATGGGAAATGTGTGCTGGTTTTTGACCATGGTTTCAGGGGGAAGGAATGGAAAGGAGGTTTGTGTTCAGCAGTGCTTTGGTGCTTCCTGCCGCTGGGTCACGTGCAGCTTTACTTCTCTGATGTTCTCAGGTATTGGTACCGAGGTTTAAGTCCACCGGAGCTGCAGAAGCAAACAGGTTTCATCAGGAAAGTCACAGGGTTCAGTTAGCTGCTATAGGAGCCGATGGAGTTCCTGTTGAGTCCTTCTGCCATATTTGGGCACAGGGAGAGGTGGAAATACAGGTTTAGAAAGAGGACCTGGTTTTAATATTTCAGCTTTCCAAGAGCCCACCTCTACACGTGTGAGCAACGTTAGTCTTGTCTTTCTCTTCTGCTTTTGTGTGTTTCTCCATTTATCTGAAAGCAGCAGCAAATGTGTGGAATGAGCGGGTTTTGATATTTTTATTGTCGTAGAGTCCGAGAAGCTGCAGGGGGGAGTGGGAGACCAGTTTGTGCAAAAACAAAAGAGACGCGCAGCTAGAAAGTGTGCAGATCCGTCACCCTTTATTCAGAATGAGGCGATGTCCTTCTGAATCTGGAGCTTTGTGAATTTCCCCTCTAGCAGGACCAGACAGACATGACAACGTCAGCAGTTAGTAGATCCGTGGCGACGACTCCTAAACTAAAGCTCTCTGGGTTGAAGTCCAGCCTCCAGCACGTCCTCCTTAGGGGACAGCGTCCCCAGGTGCATCTGCTTCCTGGACAGGCCTCTGGAACGGTGGTTAACCTCTGACCTTTACAGACGGGGGGGTTGGTTATGGGAGTTGGTTAACCGCAGCACCGTGCAGCCGTGCAGATGCAGATGCTCAGGCCTTCAGCAAAGTTCAGACGGATTTTTGTTGTTTAGAAATCTTTAAATCAGAACGGAACGCAAACAGCAGCTTCTACGCTTATTAAAGTTTATTTGAAGCTGAGGATAGAACATGACATCACGCAGGTCTAGACAGAAACAAAACACACAATAAAAATGACTTTATTTGATGTTCATGAATGTTTTTCCATGTAGTTTAATAACATCAGTTTGACGCAGAAACTGTCTGCTAACTGCTCCTCTGACTGTTTGGAAATGTTCCATGTTTCCTTTTTCATTCTCAATCATCTTTGTAGGATTTAAAAACATAAATAAAAGATGAGAAGTACTCCTGGTAAATGTAACGATGACATCAGCGGTGAAAGCAATGTTTTACCGTTATAACAATATGATGCTTTTATCCTGGGGGGTCATCTCTAGAAGCTGAAACTGGAAATATTGTCCGAGATTCAGCTTCAGTGCTTAGAATTGTGTGTGAGTTCTGTGTTTTTTACATGGAGTCCTGTGTTTTTTTACATGGAGTTCTGTGTTTTTTACATGGAGTCCAGTGTTATTTTTACATTAATCTCTGTTTTATTTTACATTAAGTTCTGTGTTTTAAAAATTGAGCTCTGTGTTTTTTTACATAGATTTCTGTGTATTTTTACATAGAGTTCTGTGTTTTTTACTCTAAGCTCTGTTTTTTACATGGAGTTCTGTATTTTCTACACTAAGCTCTGTGTTTTTTACATGGAGTTCTGTGTTATTTACACTAAGCTCAGTGTTTTTTACATGGAGTTCTGTGATATTTACACTAAGCTCAGTGTTTGTTACATGGAGTTCTGTGATTTTTACACTAAGCTCAGTGTTTTTTACATGGAGTTCTGTGATTTTTACACTAAGCTCTGTGTTTTTTACATGGAGTTCTGTGTTTTTTACACTAAGCTCTGTGTTTTTTACATGGAGTTATGTGTTATTTACACTAAGCTCAGTGTTTTTTACATGGAGTTCTGTGATATTTACACTAAGCTCAGTGTTTTTTACATGGAGTTCTGTGATTTTTACACTAAGCTCTGTGTTTTTTACATGGAGTTCTGTGTTTTTTACATGGAGTTCTGTGTTTTTTGCATGGAGTTCTGTGTTTTTTTACATAGAGTTCAGTGTTTTTTACATGGAGATCAGTGTTTCTTACATGGAGTTCTGTGATTTTTACACTAAGCTCTGTATTTTTTACATGGAGTTCTGTATTTTTTACATGGAGTTCTGTGTTTTTTACACCAAGCTCTGTGTTTTTTACACCAAGCTCTGTGTTATTTACATGGAGTTCTGTATTTTTTACACAAAGCTCTGTGTTTTTTACATGGAGTTCTGTGTTTTTTACACTAAGCTCTGTGTTTTTACATGGAGTTCTGTGTTTTTTACATGGAGTTATGTGTTTTTTTACACTAAGCTCTGTGTTTTTAACATGGAGTTCTGTGTTTTTTACACTAAGCTCAGTGTTTTTTACATAGAGTTCTGTGATTTTTACACTAAGCTCTGTGTTTCTTACATTAAGCTCGGTGTTTTTTACATGGAGTTCTGTGATATTTACACTAAGCCCTGTGTTTTTTACATGGAGATATGTGTTTTTGACACTAAGCTCAGTGTTTTTTACATGGAGTTCTGTGTTTTTTTTACACTAAGCTCTGTGGTTTTTACATGGAGTTCTGTGATTAGTACACTAAGCTCTGTGTTTTTTACATGGAGTTCTGTGTTATTTACACTAATCTCTGTGTTTTTTACATGGAGTTCTGTGTTATTTACACTAAGCTCAGTGTTTTTTACATGGAGTTCTGTGATTTTTACACTAAGCTCTGTGTTTTTTACATGGAGTTCTGTGTTATTTACACTAAGCTCAGTGTTTTTTACATGGAGTTCTGTGATATTTACACTAAGCTCAGTGTTTTTTACATGGAGTTCTGTGATTTTTACACTAAGCTCTGTGTTTTTTACATGGAGTTCTGTGTTTTTTACATGGAGTTCTGTGTTTTTTGCATGGAGTTCTGTGTTTTTTTACATAGAGTTCAGTGTTTTTTACATAGAGATCAGTGTTTCTTAAATGGAGTTCTGTGATTTTTACACTAAGCTCTGTATTTTTTACATGGAGTTCTATGTTTTTTACACCAAGCTCTGTGTTTTTTTTACACCAAGCTCTGTGTTATTTACATGGAGTTCTGTATTTTTTACACAAAGCTCTGTGTTTTTTACATGGAGTTCTGTGTTTTTTACATGGAGTTCTGTGTTTTTTACACTAAGCTCTGTGTTTTTACATGGAGTTCTGTGTTTTTTACATGGAGTTCTGTGTTTTTTTACACTAAGCTCTGTGTTTTTTTACATGGAGTTCTGTGTTTTTTACATTAAGCTCGGTGTTTTTTACATGGAGTTCTGTGATATTTACACTAAGCCCTGTGTTTTTTACATGGAGATCTGTGTTTTTGACACTAAGCTCAGTGTTTTTTTACATGGAGATCTGTGTTTTTATAGGAAATAGAAGACCTCATTAAAAACAGCTCCTGCATTATGGTGAGAGCTGATCTGGTTCTTAGAAAATTGGAATTTATTAATTCTGTTGAATCTGTTGGTAAAATTTTCTACAGTTTATTTACAGTAGTGTAAAGAGGCTGATCTTCAGCTGGTTAAATGAACAAAGCCTTATTAGATCCTGTTGTTTAAAGCTTTTCTTTCTTACAGTGATAAAATTTTTTATTCTTGTTTCATTTTATTTTTAGTTATTTTTCATTTGTTTTATAATTTCTTCATCATTCAGTAATGACCTCATTTACCAGGAACGTTTTCCTGAGAGGTGAGTTGTAGGGGTTTTCCAGCTTAGAGCTTCAACTGTTTCAGTTTCAACACACACACGCGCACACACACACACACACACACACACACACACACACACACACTCACGTCTCTCTTTCTATCTTAGTGAGGACCATCCATTGACTTCCATTCATTCTTGTGACTGTATTATGCCGATAACCTAACCATAACCAATGCTGATCTATTCCTAACCTTAACTAAAACTTCATTCACATCATACTTCTTAAACCAAATTGTAAGTCCATTTTATTTTTGGTTCTTTTTAAAACACAGGAAAGGTTTTTCTTTGCCTTGCTAACATTTCGTTTGTTGACTGCAAAACATCCTCAGAGCTGACGCATCAGGATGTTTTGCAGTCAACAAACGAAATGTTAGCAAGGCAAAGAAAAACCTTTCCTGTGTTTTAAAAACAAAACAAAAATGAAATTAGAAACTAGACACAGTAAGAACACACCAAAGATGACCAAAGCGTAAGCTTTTAAAAATGTGAGGATCACAAAATGTCTTCACTTTGAAAATTGACTTCTGTTGGTTTAAACATCATGGTGGTCCTCAGTAGTAAGTACACACCCACACACACACACACACACACACACACACACACACACACACACACACTGACCTCATAAAACTCTTTAATGCTGGTTTCTGGTTCCTATCAAGCTGCTGCTTTTTCAGCAGATGACTGAACTGATAGTGGTGAGCGGGATGATAACTAGAGTAAAGCTGTAAGAGTTGCTTTCTGTTTGTCAGCGCTCCGTTCCTGGTTCCTCCTCCTGCTCCAGCAGCAGGAGAAGGCCGTCAGCTGGAACTTGGGCTGGATCTCATCTGTGAGAGGAAACGTTTGGTATGTGAGCGGCTCCGGAGCTTCCCTTCCTGTCAGGCTGCAGTTGTCTGATTTTATCTCAGCGGGAAACCCGTCCAGTTTGTTCCAGACCAAAGCAATGAGAGGAAACTGGGATTAATATGAGTTTAGGACTGAGTCTGATCCATGATTGCACCGGAGCTCTTCTGGATTTATTCAGTTTGGAGCAGTGGAGAACTTCGGTTTGAATCGTCCAAAACAATTTAAACGGAAACTGTTTTATTTTCTTCTATCTAATAAATCATGTTGGTTTGACCTCCGTTTTGTTTCTGAGAAGCCAGAAATGTTTAGATAATAGACCATGAGCCTGTCTCCTCATGGCTCCGTCCATTTTTATTTATTTGTTGTGGATTTCCTTAGAATTAAAGTTTAATCTGGGAGATTAGTGACCCAGTTTAACCTGAGGTATGGTTTAGTTTGTGTGTGTGTGTGAGGCATGTGTGCGTGTGTGTGTGTGTGTGAGTGAGGCATGTGTGTGTGTACGTGTGTGTGTGAGGCGTGTGTGTGTGTATGTGTGCGTGTGTGTGTCTGTGTGCATGCATGTGTTTGTGTGTGCGTGTGTGAGGCGTGTGAGGCGTGTGTGTGAGGCGTGTGTGTGTGTGTGTGCATGTATTTGTGTGAGGTGTGTGTGTGTGTGTTTGTGTGAGGTGTGTGTATGTGCGTGCTTTTGTGTGAGGCGTGTGTGTGTGTGTGTGTGTGTGTGTGTGTGTGTGTGTGTGTGTGTGTGCGTGTGTGTGTGTGTGTGCGTGCGTTTGTGAGGTGTGTGTTTGTGCGTGTGTGTGTGTGTGTACGCGCATGTGTGTGTGTGTGTGTGTGTGTGTGTGTGTGTGTGTGTGTGTGTGTGTGTGTGTGTGAGGCGTGATTGTGATTGTGTGTGTGTGTGTGTGTGCGCGTGCGCGCGCATGTGCGTGTGTGTGTCCAGGCCTTGGAATCAACAGACCAGTCAAAGGCACAACTCCTCCCTGTTGACACTCCCGTCTCCCAGATAAATCCGGTTCGCTAGACGAGGAATCTTGCAGCATTTTTTACTTTCCAGCCTGTTTTCCATCAGAATGACTGAAATTATTCTGCGGAATCTCAGATTAGCTTAAGGTTATAAATAATTCCTCTCTGACCGCTGTTCAGCGACATCAGGAGTGATGGGCTAACGGCTAGTGCGGATGAAGAGCAATGTCTTTCCTTGTCGTATTAAATCAGCGTTGTTCTCCCGTGTGCTTCCACAGGCCCGCACACGGAGATGACAAAGTGAGTTTAGGATGAATTCACTGCTTCACTCTCAGGTTAACCAGGTGTGGTCCTGCAGCTCCGTCTGCACTTCCAGACAAACCACCTTCATAACATTCAGACGCTCTCTGGAACCGCCCAGCCGTTGTGCTCTGGTGTTCTCTTGAAGTTCTACTAAATACTTGAGTCCTGCACACGCACACACACACACACACACACTTCCTGAGGCCAGTAGATGTTGTTGATAACCAGGAAGTAGCACATTTGAAGATGGTAAACGTCATTAAATGTGTTTATTTAAGCCTCTCGGGACATACACTCACACACACACACACACACACACACACACACACACACACACACACACACACACACACACTCCACACTCTTCCTCCCTCTCGTCTGAACCAGACTGCTCCGTCTCAGACCGTTTGGGGAAGGTCAGGCACATATTACTCACCCGGAGCTCAGGGAGGCATCAGAAGAAGGTGAGATCAGAGAAGCGAGGAGGTCAGATGGACAGACCTTTTGGGATCGAGCCAGAAGCACCGAGGGACGAGGGAAGAGAGTTCAATCGGCTCTCTGTGGTGGACCTGTTGCCGGCTCTGACCTCCACGGTCCGAGCGCTGAGGGGACACCCTGTTGTTCAGAGCCTTAACAGGAGGTTCAGCAGCAGGTAGGAACACCCGAGCAGCTCTGAGCTGAAGAACTGAGCAAGAACCTCAGGTTGGGAGGAGGTTTCTGTCCAGAGCCTTAAAAACCGTCCACCAGAGCACGTTAGGGAAACGAAAGAAGGCGTAAAATAGAATTATGCATCTGAATAATCCTGAGTTTAACACAGATGATGATGTGTGGTGCAGCATTTCCGTGTTTTATCTGTTTTCATGTTGAAACTTTGGTTTTTTCTGATTTTGATGTTCAGCCGGAGTTCACCTTGGAGAACCTCTTCACCTTCATGCTCCTCGTTCTGTTTTAGACCCACGGTTCCACTTTCTAACTCTGCTCTGGTCCCATCCTGCAGAACCATGTCGTCTCCAGAGACGTGCTGGCCGGTGCCGATGCGAGCCATCGGGGCTCAGAACCTCCTCACAATGCCAGGAGGAGTTTCCGCTGCAGGTTATCTTCACAAGAAGGGAGGGAGTCAGTTCAGCCTGATGAAGTGTGAGTAGACGACTGTTCTGTCAGGTAGAGATTACCGGACCGACAGCACGGCTGGTCTGAGTCAAGAAGTGTTCGACTAAGTTCATGAGGAGTTGTTCCTTCTGCGTGACATCACAGCAGCTTTTCAGCCGAGACATTAACCCGTTATTGGCACACACATGAAATGACAACAAGTCCAGGTCGGATCAGGTCCCGATTCATTCTGATCGTTCAGTTGTAATAAAATTAGATTATGAAATACAGTTTAGTCTGTGGGTGTCACCGACATTCACAGATTATCCCTCACAGATCTGTGAGGGATAATCCGGGGACGTCAACTCGGTCATAACTCAAAAGCAAAACTTGAACATTTCTAGCAGCGCAAAGCAAAGGCGAGGCGGAGGAGAGGCGATGAGGCACGGCTCAGGCGAGACGGAGGAGAGGCGATGAGGCACGGCTCAGGCGAGGCGGAGGAGAGGCGATGAGGCACGGCTCAGGCGAGGCGGAGGAGAGGCGATGAGGCACGGCTCAGGCGAGACGGAGGAGAGGCGATGAGGCACGGCTCAGGCGAGACGGAGGAGAGGTGATGAGGCACGGCTCAGGCGAGGCGGAGGAGAGGCGATGAGGCACGGCTCAGGCGAGGCGGAGGAGAGGCGATGAGGCACGGCTCAGGCGAGACGGAGGAGAGGTGATGAGGCACGGCTCAGGCGAGGCGGAGGAGAGGCGATGAGGCACGGCTCAGGCGAGACGGAGGAGAGGCGATGAGGCACGGCTCAGGCGAGACGGAGGAGAGGTGATGAGGCACGGCTCAGGCGAGGCGGAGGAGAGGCGATGAGGCACGGCTCAGGCGAGGCGGAGGAGAGGCGATGAGGCACGGCTCAGGCGAGACGGAGGAGAGGCGATGAGGCATGGCTCAGGCGAGACGGAGGAGAGGTGATGAGGCACGGCTCAGGCGAGGCGGAGGAGAGAAGTGAACTCACTGAACCAAGAACCAGCAGATCGTCGTTATTTGTGCATGTGGAAACCACAAATAAACTATGATGTTCACGTTACAAACGTGTAAAGTATATAAAATCTTATCAACAGCTGGAAGTTTAGTGGACCAGAGCTGATTCAGGGGTCGGCGGCTCTCTTTCATCCATCTGATGCGGCTCTGCGTGTGAAATAATGGATGAACGTTTATTTAAAATGTATTTAATTTTTCTGCATTCATTTTTTATCTGTATGCCAATTCTAAATGTAAAGATTTTTGTCTTTTAAAATCTAAACAAATGCGATAAAGACCTGAAATGACAGGTCACCTGCTCGTGTGTAATCAGATTCAATTCAATTTTATTTATAAAGCGCCAAATCACGACAAGAGTCGTCTCAAGGCACTTCACATAATAAACAATCCAATTCAGGTCAGTTCATTAAGCAAAAAGTTTCCTATATAAAGAACCAGCAGGTCGCATCGAGTCACTGACTAGTGTCAGAGTCTTTACAGCAATCCTCATACTAAGCAAGCATGCAGCGACTGTGGAGAGGAAAACTCCCTTTTAACAGGAAGAAACCTCCAGAGGACCCTGGCTCAGTACAGGGAGTGCAGAATTATTAGGCAAGTTGTATTTTTGAGGAATAATTTTATTATTGAACAACAACCATGTTCTCAATGAACCCAAACAACTCATTAATATCAAAGCTGAATGTTTTTGGAAGTAGTTTTTAGTTTGTTTGTAGTTTTAGCTATTTTAGGGTGATATCTGTGTGTGCAGGTGACTATTACTGTGCATAATTATTAGGCAACTTAACAAAAAACAAATATATACCCATTTCAATTATTTATTTTTACCAGTGAAACCAATATAGCATCTCCACATTCACAAATATACATTTCTGACATTCAAAAACAATACAAAAACAAATCAGTGACCAATATATCCACCTTTCTTTGCAAGGACACTCAAAAGCCTGCCATCCATGGATTCTGTCGGTGTTTTGATCTGTTCACCATCAACGTTGCGTGCAGCAGCAACCACAGCCTCCCAGACACTGTTCAGAGAGGTGTACCGTTTTCCCTCCTTGTAAATCTCACATTTGATGATGGACCAGAGGTTCTCAATGGGGTTCAGATCAGGTGAACAAGGAGGCCATGTCATTAGTTTTTCTTCTTTTATACCCTTTCTTGCCAGCCACGCTGTGGAGTACTTGGACGCGTGTGATGGAGCATTGTCCTGCATGAAAACCATGTTTTTCTTGAAGGATGCAGACTTCTTCCTGTACCACTGCTTGAAGAAGGTGTCTTCCAGAAACTGGCAGCAGGACTGGGAGTTGAGCTCGACTCCATCCTCAACCCGAAAAGGCCCCACAAGCTCATCTTTGATGATACCAGCCCAAACCAGTACTCCACCTCCACCGTGCTGGCGTCTGTCGGACTGGAGCTCTCTGCCCTTTACCACTCCAGCCACGGGCCCATCCATCTGGCCCATCAAGACTCACTCTCATTTCATCAGTCCATAAAACCTTAGAAAAATCAGTCTGGAGATATTTCTTGGCCCAGTCTTGACGTTTCAGCTTGTGAGTCTTGTTCAGTGGTGGTCGTCTTTCAGCCTTTCTTACCCTGGCCATGTCTCGGAGTATTGCACACCTTGTGCTTTTGGGCACTCCAGTGATGTTGCAGCTCTGAAATATGGCCAAACTGGTGGCAAGTGGCATCTTGGCAGCTGCACGCTTGACTTTTCTCAGTTCATGGGCAGTTATTTTGCACCTTGGTTTGTCCACACGCTTCTTGCGACCCTGTTGACTATTCTGAATGAAACGCTTGATTGTTCGATGATCACGCTTCAGAAGCTTTGCAGTTTTAAGACTGCTGCATCCCTCTGCAAGATATCTCACTCTTTTTGACCTTTCTGAGCCTGTCAAGTCCTTCTTTTGACCCA